TGGGGATTTTGATCTCATGATCAGAGATGGAGTCTGGCTACGTCCGATCATTTCTATGCTAAGATGCTGAGCAGACTAGAGCAACAGGTGTGTTATTTACTTTGGTCATATACTTTAAGATAGGTCTTGTTTAGGTGTTTAGATACTTTTCTACAATGTATTTAAACTTTCTTTTTGTCCCTTAAATATTTGTTTTATTTTATTGGGTTTATTCAGTAAATTAGCAGAAAGGATGGAGGAGAGATTGCTGCGCTTACACATTGCACGTTAACATTTCAGTATGTCTGGTGGAATTTTGGCCTTTGTTTTTTAAACTGTAGAAATGATTTTTAGTATTTACCTTTTTTTTTTCCTGTTTGCTGTTTTTTAATATTGAAAGCATTCCTTGGTTAATATTTCGGGGGCTGATGTAAAACAACTATAACCTTTTAAAAAACCTGTAGTATTAAAAATATATCTATTTTACATAGTGGTGACAATGTTGCTGCTTTCTGTACCTTTCAACTATGATACAATAATATTACAATGCACACAGTGTAACCCCATCCATCAGCTACATTCATCTTCTGTAGAAATCCTGAGGCTTTCAAGAGCACTTGTCATTTACACACAGAACCATTTTTTGCACTAAACCAAATTTCACGAATAAACAGCCTATCAATACATGAAGCCAGGGACACCTTTGAAGAAAGAATATGTGTCTGACAAAGCACCTCAGTTATGTGGCTGGTTAGCAGTTTTATATTTGTATACTCAACCAAGTTAAAAAGCAAATATACTGTAAGAACGGTTCTACCTAGGTCAAGCTCCACCCATATCCATTCTGAGCATGCCCCATGGTACAGTAATTAATCCCGACAGCTTCATGCTCAGCCCAAGGAGCACAGGGCTATCCTTGGCTTTCCTTTGCTGTTGGTCTATTTGGGCACTGGCTCCAATGGAACACAATTGTATACTCAATTGTCAGCACACCAAGGTAAAACCCCAACTAAGAAAGGTTCTATCTGGATCAAGCTCAGCCTACATCAACCAAGAGCGTGCCCCACTGCACTGTGGTCCTATCATCTTCATCCTCAGTCATGGAAACACGAAGTTATCCTTGAGTTTCCTTGGATGTTGGTCAATATGAGCACTGGTTCCTATGGAACACATATTTTGTATACTCAAATGTCAGCACATCAAGTTAAAAATCCAACATAGGAAAGGTTCTGTATAGCTCAAGCTCCACCTACATGAACACTGGGCATGCCCCACTGTATAGTAATCCCATCAGCTTCATCCTGAGTCATAGAAACACAAGGTTATACTTGGGTTTCCTTGGATGTTGGTCAATATGGGCACTGGTTCCAATGGAACACATACTTTGTATACGCCATTATCAAGTTAAACACCCAACATACACTGGATCTAGCACCACCTACTTCAACATTGAGTATGTCCCACTGTACAGTAATCCCATCAGCTTCATCCTCAGTCATAGAAACACAAGACTATCCAAGGCTAAGCTTGGTTTCCTTGGCTGTTGGTCAATATGGACACTGGTTCCAATGGAACACATACTTTGTGTACTCACTTGTCAGCATACTAAGATAAAAGTCACCATAAAAAGGTTCTGTCTGGATCAAGCTCCACCTACATCCACACTGAGCACACCCCGTTGCACAGTAATCCTGCCAGCTTCATCCTCAGTCATAGAACCAAAAGGCTATACTTGGGTTTCCTTAGCTATTGGTGAATATGGGCACTGGTTCCAATGTAACACATACTTTGTATACTTACTTGTTAGCATAGCTAAAAGTCAACAAAAGAAGGTTCTGTCTAGATGAAACTCCATACTATGTATACTTTAAATGATTATTTTAGCCCATAAAGTGAATGTCTCCCCATTGTGTATAAATGACCATGAGCTTCAAAGGAGATCTCCAGACAATAAAAAGCAGTAATAATAATTCTACTAGAATTATCACTTCTATTTACCTGTATCAGCCGACACAATGCCCAGCGATGGTATTACACTACTCTGATGGCTTATCCATCTAATAGAATAAACTAGTTTGTTTTTCAGGCATGGCATTGAAGTTTATAGGGCCATAATTACAGGATTCTGCCCAAAAAGAAGCGCATGTACTTTTTCAAGCAACAGACCCAAGAAATTCATGATTCATGATGAGCGACAAAACGCTTAGGTGTGAATGGGGGCTAACTGGCACTAAGTGAACCTGTGTGAATTACAGTCTGGAAGTCTGAATAACAATGTTACTGATGTATCAGAGGACACATCCACATACAAGCTGGTTGTAAATCAACAAAGAGGCTTTGAACTAGATGTTTACCTTTCAATAAAGATGATTTATATTACACAAACAAGAAATATCAAGAATGGCTCAATTAACAATTGAATTATTATATATTAAAGAAACTTTGGAAATGTTGGTCTTGACTGGTGTTCTCCTTTAAGGTAACCCTGTTATCAGAGAAATACAGACTATTGCTGGCCTCATTTAATACAAGCTAGTTGCCTGGATGTTATAATCACCTTCTGGCTGCAGGTATTCTAAATCACCAAGTGGAAAGTGCATACAGATCAGGAAAGCCAAACTAAAGTCACAACTCCTCATTTGCAGACTTGTTACAGGTCAGTTTACTAAATGAATTTTAATAGGAATATTCACACAATTTATTAGTAAGAAATAGTGTCATTATTCATTTCACTTATCCAATCGTGTGAAAAGAAAATTCACCGTTCACTTATTTCAACTGCACGCAATTGGATAACAGAAGTGAATATTTGACACAATTTACTTCCATCACTCTCAATTTGCCTTAATGCCAGTGGGTCAGCGGGGCAGCCAGGGAACTAGCATTTTCAGATGCAATGCTCAGCAGTAGCAGCTTCCATTTTAATTTTAAGTTCAATGACATGTATTTTTAAAACCTTTTAGTAAAAATGTGTTATCTCATTATACATTTCATTTGAATTTTTAAAATTAAAGTGTATGCAAACTTTTTTATTTTCTTTAGTTTTGGATAGCGGCTGGGAGGATTAGATCCTCTTAAAGATTCCTCTTTTAAAGAATATCTTCCACTGTTAAAGAATATCTTAACCCAAAAAGGTAATTTGTAATGATGTAATTATTAATATACAATGAAAATGTAATATATTGCAGGTTACCAGTTGCTAGAAGTGTTGGCTTTATTTGGCAATTCTACCAGCAAGACATTTCCTGTCCTAGGGTGACAAGACAGAAACAGGAGAGAACTACACATTTCCTTTTCTTCATTACATAGAGGAGTGGGGTTCTTTAGTCCTCAGAGAAAACTGAGAACAATGTAATTGATCAGAGTCAGTACAGGCAGAGAGTACAGGCTTTCTGGCAGATCAAACAAATATAATAAAAACCCTTTCAATGGTATATTTACCAGATCATAAGCGACCAAATAAGAGAAGTTTACTGTTAGTGCTGACATACAGTTTAAACATATGTTTGCTGTCTTGGCCCCCACTAGGGAGATTTGCCCCTCTATTTGCCCTGGTGACTACTGTCACAGAAACAGAAAGTGATGGGATAATCTAAATGTTAGAGTTGTCACCAGTGCAAGATGTGAAAAATCATAAAGGAACACATATTTCAAATATTTACAACTGTCTAAAAGGGGATTTCCCTTTCTTTGGTTGGATATCTTCACATTTCTTATAGTGTCTCAAGGCTAGGAAGTGAATTGAAATCTCCAGAGTGGGACCCAGACAGCAGAAATGACCTGATGGGGGTTTTAACGCTTCCCTACTCTATCCAAAACTACAATAAAAAAAAAAGTTTGGGCTATACATACACTTTAAGGATTTTTTTTTACTAGGCCTACTGAAGCTTTAAGTCTAAAGCTTGTGTGATTGCACCGTTGTTATGTCTGATTGTCTGCATGATTGTCTATATTAAATATACATTGTATCCACCATAACTATTACACATAAAAATATCCAACCTGCTATAGCAGGAAATGCTAAGGGTGTGTTCAATAAAGAAGCCATTTTTACGTTCACCCATCGTGTCCAGTTAGTTTTGGAGGAAACTTTTCGGGCAGGACTATCATCTTGCATTTCTTAGACCTGCGTTTGAATACCACAAGGAATCATGTCTGCATGCGGAATGTATGTTCTCCCCATGTTTGCATGGATTTCTGCAAGTTTTTTTGTTCCCCTCCCCCCACAAATATGTTCTCATATGTTCTTCTGTAGCTCATCAAACTACCACCAGGTCTTATGCATATGAATTCCCATTATGCTAATCAGTAATGATGAGCTTGGGCTTGGTGCGAACCCAGCTTGGTTGAGTTCACCTAAGCCCGCTCATAACTGTGACCGACATACCCCCTCCAGGCCCAATGAATTGCAGCAGGCACATTCCCCGCCGCTATACATCGCAAAGGGAAAGGAAATGACCCAACCGTAATTGCCGCCACTGATTGGGCTGGGAAGGGGGGAATCTGGTCACAGTTTTGACCCGCCATGGGCAAACTCAGGCACCAAGCCCAAGCTCAAAACTACTGATCAGGTTTGAAATGAACACTATTTCACTGGGCCAGACCAAAAATGACTTCTTTGGTAAATCACATCCTTAACCTGCTTTTAGCTGATCCTGGATATCCAAGTCCAGCAAAGAGTGGCTTAAAGAGTGTCATTCACAAAGAAAAACACCTATGTGGGTAGTCTGAGATGAAAGCTACTTGTTTGACTTCCATGTTCCATATTACTCCCAGGACTATGTTATCAACATGTGTGGATGCTTCAATCAGAGGGTTCCCACATGGGTATCTTTATTTGTAAAAGATTCCCTTTAATGGCTCAGGCATGTTAATTAAAAATATACTCCCACTCCAACCCAGAAAAAAGGTCTATGCACATTCATAAAAACTTTTTGTTTGCTTTTTTTCGCCATGCATTTTCCAATAAAGCTATTTGAAGTCTTTCTTGTCGCTCCAACAGTCTCTGTGTCCCTGTAAAATGCACTGTTTCCTGTAGTTCTCTCTTGGCCTCCAAGAAGAGACCCCGATAAAGACAAGTCCTCATTTATAGTCCATTAAATAAGACTTAAACAGTCACTGCTGGGTACATCATATGTTCTGGATTGTTGTGGGGAGGGTATGGTGACTGCATTGGTCTGTAGCCACCCTGGAGTCCATGTCCATCCATAAATTGTGGCATGGGAGTCATGGGGACAGAGTCATGAGGTACAGCATAGCCAACAAACTGGGGGTGAAGGTATTGTCCTTGATGAGGGACAAGCTGTGTGGCTTGTTGACAGTTCATCACTGAGTAGTTGGTGGGCATATTTACATAGACGTTATTCATGGCTCCTTCTGGTAAGCAGCAGTTGGTCTGCGATCTAGTGGGAGGTGCCCTGGCACCAGAGTTGGCACTGGAACTAGAGCTGGTGGCTGTGCTGGACTGGCGGGAGGAAGAGCCATGTGAAGTGCTGGCACTGGAAATCATGGGGATTGTTTCCATGAGTCGGTTCCCCCCAGGTGCTCGGCTCTGCTGGGGCTCCTGTTTTGGTCGTAGACATCGGCAACAACACACGGCCACTAGAGACCCCAAAATGATGAAGGCGACAAAGACGGATCCGACTATTAGAAACGGTACGTAGATGGGCACTGCAAGAAAGAAAAAATTCCAGGGTTACTATTGTGAAATCACGTGGTTACATTTACCATTTAGCAGACAGATTTTAGAGTTCAACCATTTTAACGTTACTCAACCTTTCCTGATATGTTTGTTGCTGGTCAATGACTATTATGTTCCATATTACTTACAGGACTATGTCATTGATCAGCGGCACCGGAAAGGTTCAGATTCATTGCATCAAAGCTAGTACATGTGTGAATGTTTGATTTGTGACAGATTCCCTTTAATGGCTCAGACACTTTATTTAAAAATAAACTCCCACTCCAACCCAGAAGAAAAAAAGGTCTATGCACGTTCGTAAAACATTTGTGTTGCTTTGTTTTGCCATGCATTTTACAATAAAGCTATCTGAACGCTTTTTTGTCGCTCCAACAGTCTCTGTGTCCCTGTAAAATTGCACTTTTTCGTGTAGTTCTCTCTAAGGCTCCATTCACGCCTGAGCGGCTCACCGCGCGTATTCCGCTGTACGGATACGCGCGGAGCTGCTCCAAACACAAAAAACAATGCACTTCAATGTGCATCGTTCACACCATTGCACGAAACCGCACGGCCCCCAAAATAGAGCAAGTGCAATAATTTCGGCGCATTCCACACATTTGCGGCTATATAATAGCCACAAACGACCGCCATCCGCCCGGATTAAAAACCATTAGCATTTTCGTCCCAAATTGAAAACCGCGTGGGAACCGAAAACACTATGTGTGAATGCAGCCTTAGGCCCCTTTCACACGGGTGGTCCAATCTGGTCTGTCAGTTTTCAGGCAGATCTGATTAGAAGCCCAATGCTAGTCTATGGGCAGCCGGATCTAAAGGGATCTAAAGCCTCTCCGATGCTGTCTATCTCAGGTTCAATTGTCCCTGTGCAGACGTTGGACCGGCATGGTGGGTGTTGGTGGCTGGATCTCCCCTCTCGATCATTGAAACGGAAAGTGACAATGATTTTGTCACTAATGGTTTTAGGCTATCATTCTCCAGCTGCTGTAGTCGGAGTAAAAGCTGGATCATCAGCTTCATTGGGGTCCAGGGGTTTAATACAATGTATTTATTGTTGTGCATACTTTCTTTTCAAGGTGATAACCGCTCCCCTCATTTCGTGAATGGGGGTGGCAGTCACAAGGACAGAAAGTGGGGGATAATCTCCCCCGTGAAGTCAAAGACAAAGATAGAACCAGGACAGAAGTTACAACTGTTCCTCAACCAGCTCAACATTGAAAATGTAGAAAAACAGGCAGGCGTTAAGCTGGTGGGCTAATCCAACCTGTGATTTAGGACATGATCATGGCGTTGCATTGTGGCAGTGTGTTGGTGCTGTGTGGTCCCATTCATTTTTTTAGTCACTCCAACAGATATGCGTTGCAGCACACAACAACACATGCCAAAGCACTGGGCATTGCATTACCAAAAATGCAACAGGTATGGTTGTAGATCTGTTGTGTGTTTTGGGAGCATTAATGAAATGCATGTTAACAGACTGTAATGGATTGCCCTGGTGTGCATGGGCCTTTGCTATATTTCTCAGAGAAGCCAGTGGCCAAAATTTCTGGCCCCAATGCCCAAGGCACATGGGCCACACTGAAAGATATAATGCTCTACAGGGTTTTCAACGCACCATCATCCATCCAAACTGAAATATTGACTGTTTAGTTTATGAGCGTGGCATTGCTTATAATTTTTTTGTTGGCGTAGACAAGCAATGATAAACTCACTTTCGCTCAACTAATTGAGAAAGCTCCAATTGTAAATCCCAAAATGAAAACAACATGCCCAAATGGCGGCCATAATCTTAAGAGGGGATTGTGCGCACTGGACAGGTGGCATCTGCACTTACTGAAGCAATTTTTTCATTAGTAGACGGCAGTTCATGTGACACAGGAAAGGCAATGAATCGAATGACAGGAAAGGAATCTTAATGATAACAAGAATGTTTCCACTCCTATTTCAGTGTGTGAATGATACATGTGAAGTCCGGGCAGCCGGTACTGATGCTGTCCCATTGTACAGAGTCGGGATGGCTTAATACTGACTGACAGCAATGGGATTTATCCAGGGAAATCAGGCCTGAATGCCTTACTGCATATGGAATACAACACGCTATACTGATATACAATATCACATCCAATATCTGGAATCCCACTAATGCTTAATTTGGCCAGCATGCCTAATGCAAGGATTACATACAAGTAATCCCATTCTTTTTATTTCACTTTGTTTTATATGAATTACACACACACTTTAATGTATGTCTATGTTAATCTATTATATGTAATATGACAGCTGGCTGCATGTGGAAAGTCTTTTACAGAAGAACTGTCTGCGTGGCTTGTGACGACCAATCAGATATTCCCTTTCATTCTGGCTCTGACAGGCAACACCAGCAGTTCTTCTTTCATACACTTCTTTGTACAAGTCATATTGAGGGCCATTTACAAACCTGAAACTGGGCAGTTGTGTACCGATTAAAAATAGATAATTGATAATTTTCTTTATTATTTACCCAACAGTAATATTGTTTGTTTGTTATATACTGTATATTCTGCACAGTTAAATAATATATTGTATGTATTATATACACACAAATACAAAACAGAAACTGCCTCATTTTCAGCCTCTATAAGCCATATAGATGTAAAAATTACAGATCAGCAAATTATTAAAAATTATAATTAGCTATCTAACGTTTAGTGCAGAATGTGTAACACACAACTGCAAAGATATAACTCTCCTACTGGTAAATGTAAATATCTACTTTAATATTCGCAACATCATCCTTCAATGTCCATGAAATGTAATGTGTTCAATTAAAGGGTTATTAAATCCTCAGGTTTTTTGGCATATATCTAGTGCTAGCAAGCAGTAGATATATACAAAAAGTGTAAAAAAAAAAACTCGCTTTAAAAAGGGCTAATACTTACCTGTGTCTTCCCCGCGCTCTCCCGTCCGAAAATGTGAAGATCCTCGGGCGGCCGCAACGCATCTTGGGGCGGGCGCATGCGCAGTTCACATTTTCGGTCGGGACGCGAGGAGAGTCACAAGGTAAGTATATGGACAGCGTGCACCCGCATGCAGACACCGTGAGACAGGAAGTGCCAGCAAGCTCAGAGGAGTCAGCGCTGGATCGGAGAGCCGCCGCAGCGCTGGAGGGACAGATAAAAATGACAGGAAAGAGGAAGAAGATCGGATTAAGAAACATAATTTAAGGTAAGTGCTTTCATTAACATTGGGGGGGAGGGAAAAAGATTTTTGACTTTAATGTCACTTTAAGCTCTGTCAGAAGCTGCATGTATGAGCAAACCTTTTTAAAGACCGGTCTGCTTTGTCTGTATTTTCTTGTATACCGATTCCTGTCAATTATTAGTACTTATTTCAAAAATGAATATTTGTTCCGCAGAGTGATTGACGCCGCAGTATACCGCGAGCAGCTGCTCGCGGTATACTGAGACGCCGCAGCTGAAGCGGATCCCGACAGTTATGCCGGGATCCGCCCAGCTGCGTGACTGACAGCTGGCTCTGCCTATCTGAAGGCAGAGCCAGCTGTACCCGCCCCCTCTCCCGTCCGTTCCGCTAGTCAGCGCTGGCGGATCGGAGAGGGGGAATCCAGCCCCTCCCCTGTCACGGCAGAGAGCCGTGACAGGATCGAGAGGTGAGCGAACGCCGGTATGTGTTCGCTCACCTTCCGATCTACTGAGCTGACCTGTGACAGTCTCATTGTCACAGGTCGGCTAGAACTATGAGGTGAGTGAAAAGCACTCACCTCATAGTTCTCCTTTAAGAATGAAAGGAGAACTATGAGGTGAGTAAAAATTACTCATCCTCATAGTTCGAGCCGACGTGTGACAATGAAACTGTCACAGGTCGGCTCAGTAGATCGGGAAGTGAGCGAATATCCCTGCTCCCCCAGAAGTCAGCATTCACCACTTCTCCCTTACGCTCCGGCTTGTGGACTGTTCATTGGCTTGCTCATGTATAATGAAGGGCTAAGGGCCCTTAATTGTATGTGATGAAGCGGGCTTCCAACTGCTGAAGTGTAGGGAGAAGAGGCTTCACATGCTGGTCTTGGTCCACTGCAAGGGGAGTTTTATTTTTATTTTTTACATCCTGGATATACACTTTAACCTGACACTTCAGGTTGGATCGGGGGTAAAAGGTGACTCCAATACATTTCCCTGAAATGGTGACATTTCACTGTAATCCGGATTTTTACTGACATATCAAGGAAATTAAAATTCTCAATTTCCCTCATCCCTAAATCCCTAATTAAAACTATTAAGGCTTATTTATGTAATAGTTGCATTTGGCCCCCGATTAACCTTAAGGTACTTGGCTTAAAGCCTATCTCTGGGGAAAAAGAAACTCATGTTGCAATGGGGCTAGGGAGAAGAGGCTGCACATGCTGGTCTTGGTCCACTGCAAGGGGCGGTTTATTTTTATTTTTTTTATCCTGGATATACACTTTGACCTGACACTTCAGGTGGGATCGGGGGTAAAAGGTGACTGATCTTAACACTTTACATTCTGAGAAGCTGGGTGACAATGTGCGACCTCAGGCAAGTTAACAGGGAGGCAACTGTCCAATTTCAGTTGACCTCTTGTCCTCCAGCTTAAAGCCGAAGACTCATCGAAAGTAAAAAGCTAAGTAGTAGGACACATATTATAAACAGAACTAACCTGCATGAGTACAAAGATTAAAGACACAGTATTCATATTCTGGCATGAGCTCAAATTGACTCGTTCTCTTCAACACAGAACAATAACTAATTCCCAACCACATACACACTCACATATATGTAAATGATGAACAAAGGAGACCTTTGGGAGTTGGAAGATTTGACTGCCATACCCCATCTTTGGCCAGCTTACATTACTAGAGATAAACCATAAATAATGACTAGTTCCTGGGTATGTAGTTGACATTGCCTACCTTCTAATATGTTATTTATGGAGCACTACTGTGCAATTTACCTAGTCTTAC